AGAGAAGGACTGAAAGCTAGTTTCTAGACTGACAAACTTCTGAAGAAAGGTGCACAGAATAGTTTAGGGGAATTTCATATCGAAGTAAGAGGAAAGTAAAGAGCTTTATAAGAAATAACAAATGTTCATAATAGTACCTAATATTTGAGCTCAATAATGGCGTAACAGATAAATATGTGAGGCCTGTTGAATTAAAAAGCAAACAATACGTGTCATAGACTTGAGTCTCTGAAAAAATCTCAATATATGAAGAGGAAACATATAGTTATTTATTTCCAATTTACATATTACTTTTTAGTTGATTAATTTTTTTTGTTTTCTTGAAGGAATTGTACAATTTAGGAGCAAGAAAAATTGGGATATTTGGAGTTCCACCAATAGGATGTTTGCCAGCACAAAGAACGCTAGCTGGTGGGCCACATAGAGTGTGTTCAGAAGAATACAATGAAGCAGCCCAATTGGCCAACACAAAATTCTCTTCTGAAATTGATTCATTATCCAAAAAGTTGGCCCAGTCCAAGCTTGTGTTCTTAGATATCTATAATCCTCTTCTTGATCTCATTGTCAACCCTCAAAAATATGGTAATATACACTAATCCCTCATTTATTAATAACTCAATCTACTTTGATCTGCTCAAATCCAACCTAATTCACCTGTTTGACACCTCTACTTATATATTCTAGGGATGTCAGATAGGCAGATTGGGTTGAATTTGAACAGATCAAGATGATTTGAGTAAAAAGAAAAAGAGGGTGATTTATTGATCCGTCGAAAATTTATTTGGGTTAAAATGTGTTGGACCAGTATGACTAATAAACAATGGGTCATATTGAGTTATAATTTATTTGTTTGTTTTCTTATAATTTATTTATGAATATAGTATTTTTTTTTCCCTTTATGATGACTATATATAACATATCAAACAAAAGAAACATATTTTAAAATTTTGTAGTATAATTACAATTCAATTCCTTTGAATGGTCTAATTAACAAAACAGTCAACAAATACATATTTTGTATATTTAAGTACAAATAAACATATACTATACAATATACAAAAAATATATTCATGTATACAGTGTATATGTTTTGTATATTTTGGTCATATTGGTAAATAAGTTTGTTCTAACTGTACATAATGATAGGTTTCCCAAAATATTTTGACCAGATTTTTCGTAGGATAATTTTGGGATACCTAATAGGCCAACTTTTAAAGGAGAATGAGTTCGACAAGTCATATTTTCATGAGATAATTTGATTTTTGAGACTACTTGTGCTTCTCCTTTTTAATCTTTATTTCTTATTTGTTGTTTGATCAATTTGTTGTTATGATTTTGTTGTAGGATTTGAAGAAGTTGATAAAGGGTGTTGTGGCACAGGAAAAATAGAGGTGACAGTATTATGCAATAAATTTAGTGGAACATGTGAAGATGATACAAAATATTTGTTTTGGGATAGTTATCATCCAACTGAAAAAGGTTACAAAGTTCTTGTTGATCAGGTCCTCAATAAATATGTTAACAAATTCTTCTAGATGAAGAGTGATAAAAAAAATAAAAAAAATTACTCCAATCAAGATGTATATTCACCTAGTTTGTTAAATTTGGGTAAAAAAGTCCAAAAAAAAGAGTGTTCAATTAATCCATCCTTCCTGTGCTTTCTTTTTAATCCAATATTTATAAAGTTTTACTTCATGTAATAAGACACTAAATTCAAGTTTATGTCATTGATAGTTCATTTATGTATATTCAACTGTTTATGTTGGAAATTTATTATTTTAAAAATTGTTAATAGCAATGTCCTTAATTACTAATTTTACTTTTTCGGAGTTTATGTTAAATCTAATAGTTAGAGTTTGTTTGATGTAAACTAAAAGTGATAATTTTTTGGTAAATTTAACAAACGACAAAAATTATTCAAAAATATATTTAAGAGATCAAATATGTCATATACATAAAAGGACCATTTTTGTTATCCTCTCATTTTGTTAGAGGGGAAAGATAAACGATAGTTGGAAGGGGATTTTATTTAGCATTAGCAATTTATTACCTTCTCTATAACTGATAAAAAATGAATCAAGCATATCTCGTTCAACCTTAAAATGTTAAGTATGAACATCCACCTTATGTCAGGGACTTCATGGGTGGAACCCCTACTGGAAGGTTCAACAATGTCAAAACCCAATCGGACTTGTTAAGTAATATTTACCGTTGATGAATTTTGATAGTCGTAAGAGAGTACACATTTTTAATTACTAAATTGTATTATATCTCCGCACGACCTTTCACGTGTGAGGCTTGCTTCATTTAAATGGGTCAAAATCTAGACATTTTTCTAAGATAAAATTTGTGGCAACAATGAGTAATCTGACCACGTAGTACATTTATTTGGGCTTTTTGGATACATTTGGGCACATGCACAAATCAGAATCAAGAAGCCCAAAACAAAACAAAAGACTAAATTTTTAAATGCAAATCTTAGATTAATTGGATAACAATAAGAAGTAGACTATTGTTCTCATACCATTGTTGTCAAATCACATATTCAATGTTAAACCTCTTTGATTTAGCCTAATCAATGTAGAATGGTTCAACAATGAACAAACAGCTAACTAAATTAAGACATTTTTTCTTAAAGATATTTAATAAGCTTAAATTGACTATTATTTCCAAAAGACAACTTTCACAAAATGTGATGCGACACGTATATTGTTGTTTCATTATTACAATAATGCTAATAAGAAAATAAAGACCTTTAGACCAAACATATACACATCTTAAATTAAATGAGAGAAAAAATTACATACACGTCAAAATAAAGTGGTCTATATTAAATAGCCTATTTCATGTAAATATCACACCAACTAACTCCAAACGACCATTATTAATGTATAAATCGAATTGTTGGATGTCATAATTTGGAAGGATTTATTCCATCTTAGCACTATTATATTTTTTTCCCCTTAATTAAGAGAAAGAAAGAGAAGAATTAATAAAGGGATATAAATAATATGTTGTTCCAATCAATTCGTAGATTGCTATATATACCATAGTTACAACAGAGACATTTATTTAGCAGCGACTGAGCTAATGTCATTTATGCAGAGTCGCTAAAATATTTAGCGGCATTATATAAGTACTAGTTATAAATATTCATTTTTACTGTTTCTAAATATAATATATCGATAATTGTATTATTGCCACTAGATAATCACCGCTAAATCCTGAATTATTGTGGTGTATACTGTATACTCGTATTAATTCTCACAACAGTTTTAGGCCTCCATGTTTTGAGAAATCTACCAAATATATATCACGCGTAAGACAATTTGATAGTGATGTTTTTTTAAATTTAATTTGCGCTGTATATCTTTTTTTTATATAAATAAAAACATTGCGTTGTATATTTTCAATACTTTATAGTTTATAATTTTATATCATTAGTCTCTCTCTCTTATTATTTTTTTTTAATAAAAAAACTTCACTAGAGATTAGAGAATGCTTTAATAACACGTTTGGTTGCATCTTTTAATGCAACAATGAAATTACTAAGAATAGTACGAATTTAATATCATACTGCATTATTGAATTAAATTATTGTAGTTACTATAGGTTATGGATTGAATATTTTATTGAATATTCTATTTCTAAATTGGATACTATAGTGTTGGATCAGATATTGTGTTTTTGTATTGAATATGTAGCTACATTAATTTCGAATTGAATATTTGTGTTTTGTATGAATATATTAGGTATTGAAGTTCAAATTGAATATTGTAATTTTGAATTGAAAACTCTGTTTCTAGATGTAACTTGTATATCTCGTGTATTTTTGAAGAATGATCGAAGGATTTTCTAAGAAATCGGTGTATGTTAAAGTCGTGTATTCATAAATATGATTAATGCCAAAGTTTAGGGATATTTACCCATAGAGTTAACACGTTGTCGCAATTTTTTTATTCTTACTATACTTGTTATAATTTATAAATATTTATAGAATTCTCAAAGTAATTATTGTTGTACTATGATATATTGTGAAAAGAGGATTAGCAGGGCATTAAGTTGAGTCTATTTTCCAAAAGGTTGAAAAAAAGAAGTAATATAATGCATCATGCATTGAAATATCATACTTTACCTCAATCAACGAAAACAATTACTACTTCCGTAATAATAAGATGAATACTCTTTTTGTCCATCTTTATATGTTCATGTTTAACTTGACATTAATGAAGAAGTCAGAATTTTGGTCAAAGAAATGTAATTTTTTTTTTATTTGTGTGAAAGATGTACAAAATTAAATATATACTCATAATAGCTAACATTTAATATTTGTATAACACACAATTTTACAGCAAAAAATGTGCATCGAACCACCCTTCGCATAAGGTGACTCTGCCCATTACTTAACACACCCTTCAAAGAACAATAAATAAAATAATTACACTAGTAATGAACGAGTAAAAATAGGCGATGAAACTTCTAATAAAAATGTGAAAGGTATAACACCTGTACACCTATAATTAACAAGTCAGTGTGCATTATTGGTTTATTTACGTGTCTATAATTAGTTTGAAACATTCAACATACAGATGAAGTGACTAAATAACAAAAGGAATCTCTTTTCAATTTTCTTGTATGTGTCTCATGAACACATGTTCAATTATAAATTTCTGACGTAGACATCTGATGTTGACATAATATAAATTTTAGAGGTGTGTAGATGATTATTTCATAATAAATTAGAATATTCAATTAATACGAAGACATTTATCTCTTTGCATTTATTTGATAATATTGTCTACCAAAAGTTGAATTTAACAATCACCATTTGCATACTCCGAATCTCCTCAATGTTAATATATGTCATCATTCTAAACTACATGTAGATATTTTGAGTGACATAGTACAATTTTTGTAATAAAAAATTACACTGATTAGGATGATGCATATAACTTAAACTCCTATATATTCTTAGCCGCCTCTATAGTCAACTCCAACATTTCAAAGCTTTTACAAAACCTCAAATGTTCTCTGTTTGTCCCTATTTATGCAACAAAAAATAATAATGGTGCATAAGATCATGGTTATATTAAACTACTTTATTTGTTTTGTGTTAATGTTAACTATAAGGCCATGTGAAGGGAAAGTGCAGTTACCAAATAACGTTGTTGTAAAAGCAGTATTTGCATTTGGAGATTCAATTGTTGATCAAGGAAATAATAATTATATTCCAACTATAGCAAAGTGTAATTTTCCACCTTATGGTAAAGATTTCAATGGTGGAATTCCAACCGGAAGATTCTGCAACGGCAAGACGCCACCAGACTTGATAGGTACGTAATTAAACACACATATATTTTCTTCGAAAAAAGGATCATATTTGCTCTTACAGTTACCCCTTGTATATTCCTAACGGAGATAAGGGCAAATACAGAGTGTAGGGGTAAATTTGACCAAGAGGGATAGTAAAATATCGAGTGTTTAAATGTTGGAGTAGTAGTTTTAGCTACTATTAGGAGTTAATATGGTAGTTTATATAATGGTGTAGTCCATTAATATAGTCGATAATTATATATCAAATAATTTTTTTTAAAACAAATATAAAATTTAAATTATTGAACTTTACTGAATCTGTAACTTACGATAAGGCAAATAAAACTCTTTACTATAAAATATTTATCCAGGATGATATTGAAAAATGACAAATAAAAATAACACAAATTGCAAATTTGACCATTTTCAGTTGAAGAATTGGGGATAAAAGAGTATGTACCAGCTTACCTAGATTCAAATTTGAGAAGTGAAGATCTCAAGACTGGAGTAAGCTTTGCATCTGGTGGTAGTGGATATGATCCTCTAACATCTACCCTAGCGGTAACTTTAAAACTTGTGATTTTATATATGACGTACGTTTCTTTGTGTGGCTATATAAAATCTGAAGTATCTCAAAGTTAAGAAAATAGTCATTTTTGCAACATATTAAAAATATAGCCATGTTTAACAACACTAGCCAATTTATCACACAAGAAAAAATAAAAAGGAAACAGTAATCTTTGCTCCTATTTTTTTGTTTTGTTTATGTTTATCAGCCAGCTATACCTTTATCAACACAATTAAATCAATTCAAAGAGTATATTGGGAAGCTAGAAGGATTAGTTGGAGGAGAAGAAGCCAACTATATTTTAAAAAATAGCCTATTTTTGGTGGTTGTTGGAAGTGATGATCTTGCAAATACATATTTCACTCTTGGAGTTCAATTAAAGCAGGATATTGACTCATATACTGATCTCATGGTGGCCAAAGCTACTGAATTTCTCCAAGTAAGTATACCTTTATAGTCTAATTTTAAAGCATCGAACATGAATCAGAGGGATCAATAAGTTTCAGATATCAAATGATTAAACCGAAGTTCTTTATAACTAATTATTATAAATATTAATTTGCACTAAACTTTGTATTGACTCAAGTTCTTTTCTTATTTTTTGGAAGGAATTATACAACTTGGGAGCAAGAAAAATTGGGATATTTGGAATTCCTCCAATAGGATGTTTGCCATCACAGAGAACATTGGCTGGTGGGCCAAATAGAGGATGTGTTAAGGAATACAATGAAGCAGCCCAATTGGCTAACACAAAATTCTCAATTGGCATTGATTCACTATCCAAAAAATTGGCCCAATCCAAACTTGTGTTGATAGATATCTATAATCCTTTTCTTGATATCATTGTCAACCCTCAAAAATATGGTACTATATACTAATCCTTCTATAAATTCATGAAAAATATTAGGGACGCCAAACAAGTAGGTGTGTTAACTGTTAGGATGATATGATATAAATTAATTGTAGATGTCTTTAGAGTGATCTGATAACAAAATTTCTTCACACTATCGGTATACTAGACAACTTGTTCTTCTTCATTTTGTCTTTATTTTCTTGTATTCTTATTTTATCAATTTTGTTATTGTGGATTTTTTTGTAGGATTAGAAGAAGTAGAGAAAGGGTGTTGTGGCACAGGAAATATAGAGGTGACAATATTATGCAATAAATTCAGTGGAACATGTGAAGATGATACAAAATATTTATTTTGGGATAGTTATCATCCAACTGAGAAAGGTTACAGGATTCTTGTTGATCAAATCTTGAAAAAATATGTCAACAGATTTTTGTAGATGATGAGCTCAAATCAAGATCAAGATTATGTATCACCAAATCTGTATAATTTGGATCAAACTTTTTTCTGTTCAATTAATAGTTCATTTATGCATATCCAAGTGTTTAGGTTGGAATTTAATAAAAAAATATTGTTCATGACAAATGGTTGGTATTAAGTGGTACTTACTTAGCTAGTAACTTACTAATTAATTTTGCACTGTCCTTACTAATTTTGACTTTTCTAAGTTTGTTAAAAAATTGACATAAACCAAAATTGATCATTTTTGGTAAACTTAATAAAGGACAAAATTGACCCATGCGTCTATCTGAAATAGTATTTTTTTATCCTACAAAAGTAGGGCAGTAGGTGTAACGTCTACATACACTTCATTTTCCCTACACATCACACGACACCAAAAAAGATCTTTATCGTCAATTAATTAACGATAATAACTTAATTTTTGCTAGATATATTTTAACAACATTAGATCTGATGACAATTAATTAATGCCGCTAAATGTTTTAGCTTTCTCTATTAATATGTATATTTATTGTCACTAAAAGTTGTTTTTGTTGTAGTGTCATTTATAGATACACACTGAGTGTGTTGTTGTTGTGGTGGTGTTTTAATAAAGGACTGAAATTGTTCAAGAATATATATTTAAGTGATCATTTTGAACATGCCAAAAAACATAAAGGACCATTTTTGTTATTCGAAGAAATAATGAAATGACGTGCAAGATTTTGCATATTTGAGAAATTCACCACAAAAGTCAAGCTACTCGATGTAATCCTTAGACTAACATATATAAGTGTATAACTTAAATTCCCTATAGAATATGTACCTTCTTAGCCTCTATGATATGTACTTTCAATAGCCTTCCAATTTTCTTTAAAAAAATGTTGAGTGTCACCTAAATTGAGATACGTATCTCGTAAAAAAATCTACATGTCCTTTGTGGTGGGTTGGCAGCCCAACGATTTGGGTTTGGAATTTTCATGTTGGAGGTCTCAAGTTCGAAATCCCTTGCCAGCAAAAGTAAGAGAATTGTCTTCTGGGTCGAGCTTGTCGTACCGGGATTGCCTAGTGCCGATTACCTCTCGTGTGATTTGCAAGCTATTGTATAGGAATTGGGATTTTTCTTGCACACCCAAATAGTGGCGCGACTGCATATAAAAATACTTTCTTAGCCTCTATAAAAATAAACAAAAACCCGATTAAAAACTATACTCAGAAGTTCTCCAAGAAAATAATAATGGTGCATAAGATCATGGTTATGTTATACTACTTTGTTTATTTTGTGTTAATGTTTACTATAAGGTCATGTAAAGGGAAAGTGCAATTACCAAAAAACTTTGTTGTAAAAGCAATATTTGCATTTGGAGATTCAATTGTTGATCAAGGAAATAATAACTATATATCAACTATGGGAAAATGTAATTTTCGACCTTATGGTAAAGACTTTAACGGTGGAATTCCAACCGGAAGATTCAGCAACGGCAAGACGTCACCGGACTTGCTAGGTAAAAATACACATATATATTTTCTCGGAAAAAGAGTCATATTTGTTTTTCTACTTTTCGAAAATTGTTCATATCTTGATGAAAAATAACAAATTTGTCTGTTTTCAGTTGAAGAATTGGGGATAAAAGAGCTTCTGCCAGCTTATTTAGATTCAAATTTAAAAAGTGAAGATTTTAAAACTGGAGTAAGCTTTGCATCTGGAGGTTGTGGATTTGATCCTCTAACATCTATCATCGCGGTAACTTTGAAACTTGTGATTTTAAATACAAAGTACAATATATATTTGTATGGCTACATAAAAAATTGTCATTAATACTATATAAAATCTGAAGTTTGATTTTAAATTATTTCAAAAGTTTAGAAAATGGTCTTTTGTAACATATTTAAAATATAGCCATCTTTAACAACACTAACCATTCTATTGTCTCCCACACAAACAAAAAAAAAAAACCTCTAATCTTTTCTCTTGTTTTTTTTTCCGGTTAATGTTAATTAGTCAGCTTTATCTTTATCAACACAATTAAATCAGTTCAAAGAATATATTGGGAAGCTAGAAGAGCTAGTTGGAGAAGAAGAAGCCAACTATATTTTAAAAAATAGCCTATTTTTGGTGGTTGCTAGAAGTGATGATCTTGCAAATACATATTTCACTCTTGGAGGTCGATTAAAGCATGATATTAACTCATATACTGATCTTATGGTGGTCAAAGCTACTGAATTTCTCCAAGTTAGTATATACCTTTATGCCTATTATATTTTTATTTAATCAGATATTAAATGATTAAACCGATAAAAGAATGAATTCGTATATACAACTGTGTATTGCTATACAATGTTGGGATATCAATTTTGTATTGATTCAAATTATTATTTTTAAAGGAATTATATAACTTGGGGGCAAGAAAAATTGGGATATTTGGAATTCCTCCAATAGGATGTTTGCCATCACAAAGAGCATTAGCTGGTGGGCTACATAGAGTGTGTTCTGAAGAATACAATGAAGCAGCCCAAATGGCCAACACAAAATTCTCTACTGAAATTGGTTCATTATCCAAGAAGTTGGCCCAGTCCAAGCTTGTGTTCATTGATATCTATAATACTTTTCTTGATCTTATTGTCAACCCTAAAAAATATGGTACTATATACTTATCCTTCTATTATTTTATGACTTATATTAGGGACACCAAACATGTAGGTTGATTCAAATTTAGACAGATCAAGATGAACTGAGTTAAGAACTGGATAGGTTATTGAGTTATCTAATGGTTGGCTAAATATAGACGGAGTTTTATTTAACCAAAGTTACTTAGACTGAAATGAGTTGATTTAAATTAAATGGGTTAAACAATCGATCAAAACCCTATTATCCTTACAATTATTAATAAATTTTAATTCTTTATTTGTTTTCTTATAATTTGCTTAACCTAATAAACCATTTTTCTTCTTTCGTTGTTATAACCATATATAACATATCAAATGAAAAAAGTACTTTGACATTATTTCTAGTTGTCAATTTGTGCGACTCACTTTTCCTTGTTGTAATAATTAATATGTCCTATTTTTAATATTATTAATTCCACCTCTAATGAAGACTAAGGACTTATATCTTTAAGGTGAGCTGATGACACCAAATTTCTTCACACTATCGATATACTGTATGGTTTGTGCTTTTCCATTTTTGTCTTTATATTCTTGTTTGAGATCATCTATTTTGTTATTGTGGATTTGTTGTAGGATTTGAAGAAGTAGAGAAAGGGTGTTGTGGCACTGGAACAATAGAGGCGATAATATTATGCAATGAATTTAGTGGAATATGTGAAGATGATACAAAATATTTGCTTTGGGATAGTTATCATCCAACTGAAAAAGGTTATAAAATTCTTGTTGATGAGATCTTAAAAAAATATATCAACTATTTCTTGTAGATTATGAGGTCGATCAAGATTATGTATCATCAAAATTTTCTACTTTGGATCTAGGCTCCAAAAAATGTGTTCAATTAATTATGTGTATCCATAGTGTTTCATGTTGGAATCTAATAAAAAAAGAGCAACTTTCACATATAGCAAACACAAAATTCATATTTATATGCTATAGCAAAGTTTGCATAATTGCGCACCATAGCAAACATAAATATGTATATTTCGCTATACATATACAAAAGAAAGCAGTTGTATAATCTGTTTTGGTATACATATACAAAAAGATCAATTGTATAAAGTGAGAGAGGCGAGTGAGCGAGCGAGATCTGGGAGAGTGGCGAGCGAGATCTGGGAGAGGGGAGAGAGGGGAACGAAAATATATGTATATATACAATTTTCTCTCACTTTATACAAACACAAACGCACTTTATACACTTGCATTTGTATAAAAAATGAGAGAGGCGAGGGAGAGAACGAGAGTGGCGAGCGAGATTCACCAGGAGAGAGGTGAAATAGCAACAGTTTGCTATGAGGTACAATTAAATCAAACTATATTTATAGCATTTAATTTGAATTAATAGTTTGCTATTATATACAATTTTCCCATAAAAAAATGGATAATGCTAAATGGCCAGAAATTTAAAAAGTCTATAGTATCATTTTTATTTTAAAATAAAAAGATCTTTTTTCTATTTTTAATTAAAAGGTATTAAAGTTAAAAGGGTAAAAATGTTCAAAAAGGTAAAATAACATAGTATGAAATATGTTATTTTACCATTCTGACCAAATTTTCTGGCCAAAAGGATTTCTCCTAAAAAAATTGTTCAATCAATGATGAATAGTTGGTATTTTATGGTACCTATTGCTAATTTTAATTTTTTTCTCTACGACATAAGAATAAAGTATTTATATATATATATATATATATATATATATATACACTTCATTCTTTCTAGAGTTTACTTATAAAATTATATTGAATATATTGTTATTGTATATGCAACAACGCTTATATGGGATTTAATTGTGTGGGTTTGTTTAATTAAAGTCGTGTTGAAGAATATTATAGTAGTTAGCTAGTTAAATTACTTTTCTATATATAAAAAAGTAAACGTAGGAGTATTTGGTGGATAATTAATTAATTAATCCAAATTCTTCTATCACACTTTTCTCGTTGATTAGCACGTTTTCCCTTCACGACTCTCTCTTGTTAACACAAGAATATTAGTTAACATGAACCATAATCGAAATAGAGTTTAAGTTCTATGCATTAATAACGTTTAATATATTTACATAATTAGATATTTTAAAAATAATTGTGTGTAATTCTATTTAATAATATTAAAATGTAATCGAGAATAAACTATTAACATGAAATATAATATTAGGTAAAACGAAAAAGAGTGATCATTTGTTACGAGACTCAGCACACTACTAAAATTGACACGGGGAAAGCCAATACACATTTTAAATTTACTTCTATCTTTGTAAGATAAAGATATTATTTCCGAAAGAAAAATATCCGAACACTAGATTGTAAAAAATTTAACAGCAAAATAACAAGATACAAAATAAATACAACAACAGATATACTAATTTTACACTATCAGTATCAGTGCATACAAATTAAAATCTTACAAAACGTCTTCCCCCATAATATGACGAAAGTTCTCAACGTCTTAACTTCCATCCAAACCCAAACGTAACAATTTATAT